AATTAAAAAATTGGAAAAAAAATTAAATATAATTCACCCCACCCAAAAACATATCACTACATATTTAATAAATTATACATTGTAAAAATAATATTACATTCTTTTGTAGAAAATACTCAAAAATAAAAACAAATATGAAATTTCATTACAAAATAAAAATAAGAAATTCACTTTTCAAAAATTTCATTCATCCAATTATTTTCTTTGTTCAGTAATGTGTTTGTAGATTTATTGTTTATTATTATTAGAAAAAATTAGGAAAAAAAAAAACCAGAATATAAACCATTAAACAAATGAACCGTGAATTTTTAATTTTATCAATTTAAATCATAAACTTTTGATTTGTTTTCAATTTAATATATTTATCTATTTATACTAAGTAAAACTAACGCATATATTTTAGTAATTAAACTTAGTAAAAAATGATATTTTAGACATTTTATATATGTTTATATTGATTTTAATAACTAAAATACTATTTTTTCATCGATTTTAATTAACGAAAATTGGCAAATTGTTTAAATTAAAAACAAATTAAAATCATGGTTCAAATTAACAAAATTGAAAACTTAAAAATTTGTTCGTTAATGTTTTTAGTTTTCAGTTTACAAAAATAAGAAACAAGTTTTCATTTATTTTTGTAAAAAATAAAAACAAAAAACTTGTTTGGTGTTCAAAAATATTTTGAAAACAAATAAAAATAAAAAGAAAATATTTGATGAGTTGTCGAAATTAGTAGGCAGAGATGGATGGTGGATGGATCTGGTGACCAGTAATAGCTGGTGGTTGAAGGTGTCCACCGGAATTAGCAGTCAGATGTCACTGAAGGTCATGATCTAGCCGAAGATCATGAAGTGACTGAAGATCACGATGGTGACACTGACTCACTGGAGAGTTGCTAGAGGTTGGCTGGAGCTTGCTACCCACCGACGGTGGGTAGTGGTGGCAGCTGTTGGTGGTGGTTGAAAGTATTTTTTTTTGGATGGTGGATGGATCTGGTGACCAGTAGTAGCTGGTGGTTGAAGGTGTCCACCGGAATTAGCAGTCAGATGTCACTGATGGTCATGATCTAGCCGAAGATCATGAAGTGACTGAAGATCACGATGGTGACACTGACTCACTGGAGAGTTGCTAGAGGTTGGCTGGAGCTTGCTACCCACCGACGGTGGGTAGTGGTGGCAGCGGTTGGTGGTGGTTGAAAGTTTTTTTTTTTGGTGAATCGAAAGTGATGGGTGAAGAGAAAATGAAAACTCATTTTAAAAACAAGTGAAAACAAATTTTTTATGCTTTCACAAATTTTGAAAATTTTAAAAATGAAAACAATATGCCAAATAAGTTTTCATTTTCAATTTCAAAAATAAAAAAATAAAAACAAAGACAGAATGCAAGAAACAAAAACGTTAACAATTGACTCCTTATTTTGTTATAAGTTGCAAACTTTAGAGGTTTTTTTATTTTATTTTATTTGTGTGTGTGGGGGGGTTGGTTATTGTCCCAATTTTAATTTAGTTCTCTCATCTAAATTTTTATTAATTTTTTTAAACGTATATCTCAAGTATCTTAAAATTATTATTTTTAAAAACAAATTATATGATATTTCCACCAAAGTCGGTTGTTATTAAAGGAATCCAAAGTTAATTATGTGACAAAATAAACTGTAAAAATCATTTCAAGTCGACTAAAAAATTTTAAAAATCAAATTTAAAGCTTCTTTAAAATTAGTTAAAATTTTTAAATTGAACATAAACAATTAACTATTCGAATTATTTAACTCGTTTACCACCATATCTCATAATACAGAGAGAGAGCTAGTCGACAAACTGGGCCGGCAACCGAAGACGACTCAGAGGACCACATTCTTTGTTTTGTTCTAGAGCCCTAAGCATAGCCAAAATACTACTTCGTTTTCATATGAATTTTTAATGCAAATAATGAGATACGTTGTGATTTCTTTTTGTTTTCAATTTAATGAGAAGGTATGGAATTTTTTGATAAAATATTAAGCAGTACTCGACACACTCTCTGTCTCCCACTCACTCCATTGTTTAACAAACACATGACAAAAAGAAGAGAAGGGACATAGAGAGGATATCTAGAGGTGTGCAAAGCAATAGCAATAGCAATAGCAATGGCAGTGGCAGTAGTAGGTGATAATAATAAGCCTCATGCAGTTTGCATACCATACCCAGCTCAAAGCCACATAAAAGGAATGATGAAACTAGCAAAGCTCCTCCACCATAAGGGCTTTTACATCACTTTCGTCAACACAGAGTTCAACCAAAACCGCCTAATCAAAGCCGGAGGACCTGACTCTCTCAATGGCTGCCCTAACTTCCAATTCAAAACAATCCCAGATAGCCTCCCACCATCTGACCCCGATGGCAACCAAGACATAACTCTTCTCTGTAGATCCATTAGAAGGAACTTGTTGACACCATTTTGCAACCTCCTTGCTCAACTCAATGAAGACGACAACACTACCACACCATCTGTCACTTGTATTGTCTCTGATGGTATAATGCCATTTACCATTAGAGCTGCTCATGAGCTCCAAATCCCGGTCGCTGTGTTCTGGACTTTTGCTGCTTGTGCCTTCATGGGCTATTATCAGTATCGTGCACTCTTGGACAGAGGTCTTACACCACTCAAAGGTATGTATATCTTTATATTTGGGGCAAATTATATACTTTCCAGTTCTTTACACCTAGTCTTTCTTAGTTGTAATTCTCTAATTTTTTAATTTTGATTTTCAAAATGTGCAATCTGTTACACTTTCGGCATTAGTGCTGCTCAAAATAAATAACAACCGGAGAGTATTTTGAAAATTTTATACGAAGCCTAGTCTCAAAGTACGTATTTTGTTAAATTTTGGTCATTACATTTTGATCCCCAAAAATATGCGCTTTGTTTAATTTTGTTGCAATTTTTTCTTTTTCTTTGTTTGTAAAGTTCAAAAGACGCATCATCTTTTCGTTATTAATTTTGAACAATACTAACACCCAAGACTAAGGTGAAACAATTTGCATATTATGGATACCAAAATGAAAAATTAAATATTGAAAATTAAAATGTAACATATCACATACATGTTTGTGGTGACTATTAGTGTAATTAACTTATTAAACCATTTTGTTATATTGTAAAAACGTGTTATTTTGCCAAACAAGTTTCAGAAAATGAAGGCAGAACTTGTGTTCAAAGCTACTATTGTTTATGATATGCAGATTCAAGTTATCTAACTAGTGGATATTTGGACACTGCAATAGACTGGATTCCTGGAATGAAAGATATTCGTCTGAAGGACCTTCCAACGTTTTTTCAAACTACTGACCCAAATGATGAGATATTTAACTTAAGCATGGACTCAGCAGAAAGTGCTTCACAAGCTTCAGCATTGGGCCTTCATACTTTCGATGCGTTGGAGCAAGATGTTTTGGGTGCTCTCTCATCTATTTTTCCCCACATTTACACCATTGGTCCTTTACAGTTGCTTCTGAACCAGCATGTATCACCAAAAGAACAAGACCAGTTGGCGTCTCTTGGATGCAATCTATGGAAAGAAGAACCAAAGTGTCTCCAATGGCTTGATTCCAGAGAACCTGGCTCTGTTGTTTATGTCAATTTTGGGAGTCTAGCAGTCATGTCATTGCAACACTTGGTAGAGTTTGCTTGGGGACTTGCCAATAGCAATCACTACTTCTTATGGATAATTAGGCCTGATCTAGTGATCGGAGAATCGGCTATTCTGCCACCAGAATTCGAGGCAGACACTAAAGAAAGAGGACTGATAGCAGGTTGGTGCTCGCAAGAGCAAGTCCTAAATCACCCATCAGTTGGGGTGTTCTTAACACACAGTGGATGGAACTCAACTATTGAGAGCTTGACAGCGGGGGTGCCCATGATGTGTTGGCCATTTTTAGCGGATCAGGTGACAAACTGTAGGTACACTTGCACTGAATGGGAAGTTGGTATGGAGATTGATCATAATGCGAAAAGAGATGAAGTAGAGAAGCTTGTTAAAGAGTTCATGGAAGGAAAAAAAGGGAAGAAAATGACGAAAAAGGCTATGGAGTGGAAGAAATTGGCAGAAAAAGCCACTGGACCAGATGGGTCATCCACTTTAAATTTGGACAAATTGGTGAATGTGCTGCTGTCAGGACAGGCCCGGCCAAAACATGGGATTACAAGACAAGTGTATGGAGCATACAAGGTATGTCTAAACCAACTTAAAACAGTACTATATCACGGCAAAACAAAGCCTAATATGCATTGAAATGGAGCTAAAGCAAGCTAGGCACACATGCTACAACACAAGCCACTTATGCAAGCATCAAAGACAACAAGGAGAGGGGACAACCCTCTCCCATTTAGGACCACAAAACCACCTCTCCATCACTAAAAATCCTCTGGATTTTAGTGGTAGAGAGGTCATGGAAAGGCCAAAGCAAGGGGCCAAAATGGATGGCCTAAAACAAGGCCTAACATGGCCTTAGAGGGGGGAAACAACCCCAAACCTCAAAGAGGCCTTAAACAAAGATCAAAAGCAGGTAAAAGCAGAACTTTTCTTAGTTTATAACTAAGCTTAAAAATAGATGCAAGATAGGTTAAAAGCCTATGCAAAAATGGGAAATAAAGGGAATAGTTCTCACCCTTGTAGACCTCCTTCAAGAAGACCACTCCAGCACCTTCCTTGGGTCAAAACCAGCTCAAAAACTTCAAAAATAACTTCTTAAGACCTCTGTACCTCAAGGATGGTGTACCACTCGGTGTCTTAGTGCAAAAATGTGAATAAAACATCCTTTTGGTCACAAATGCACACACAAATATATAGAGGAAGAGATATAGAGAGAGAGCGATATATGAACTCTAACCCTAAATTTCAGAACCTCCGAGAAGGAAGGAGGGCCTCCCCTCTTATAGAAATCAAATTTCTAAGGTTTCCAAGAGAAGCTAAACAAGAGGCCAATCCCTCCATACACGTGTATGGAGGGGGTGTAAGTGGATGCCAGTTGTGACAGCTGGCATAAAAATATCTGCAAAAGCAGAAGAACAGGGGTCGGTTGGAAAATATGGTTGATTGACCAACAAAAATGGCTGGCCGACCAAAAGAAATGCCGACCGACCAAAATATTTGGCCGGTAGCAAGAAAACTAGGCCGGTGGCCTCAAGCCAAGGCCGGTGAGGTGTGGGGATGACCAACAAGCCATTCCCTGCCCTCAGAAGCAAAAACACAAGTGTTTGGCCCATGACCGAGCACAAAATAGCCAAGTTGAGAGATCTTGAGGGAAGGCGTGTAGCTGAGACCTCCGAGAACTCAAAACGAACAAAAACATGGATGATCACCGAGTGTTCAAACGGTGACGTCCAAGTCTTGAGGACGGTCAAAAATGGCGTGTCTATAGTTGCCCCTCTTTGACAGAACTCGAAAGTCATAACATTGACGGGAGTGAATGTCAAAGCCCAGAGACGACCCATTTTTGACAAGGCCGAAGACTTAGACAAAGCATGGAAGATAGCAAGATATGTGCCCAAAGGCAGGGGCAAAATGCAAGAACAATGCATGATGCCGAACATAACTTATGATTATACAAAGAAAGCTGTAACGAAGCAATACATACAATAAATGCAACAATTTTAAGCAGGCCAAAACCAAACTACATTAGAATGCAGAGAGGATGTAAGAGAATTATGTAATTCTCGCTACGTTTGACGCGGAGAATACAATACCTGTGCGGTTCGTCTGGTCGTGCCAGCTTCAAATGAACCGTACATACAATATCGTGCCCAAAAAAGAAGGAGAACTTAACAGGTACAATATTGTTAGATACATGCATAGCAACGCAAGTGAAAAGTGTGTGACAATGCGGGTGAGAGGGTGCACGACAATGCAGGTGGAAGGGGTGCATAACAACGCAACCCGAGTGTGCGCATAACAATGCGATTTGAAACAAGCATAACAAGGCTATGAAGGTACAAACACATATAAGTAAAGTACACGTGGCAACGTGTACAATGTGTGTAGGTGAGGAAGAGAATACACATGTAAGTAAAGCATGCGCGATAACGCATGCAACGTGTAAAGTAAGGAATAAAATGTACACATGTAAGTAAAGCACATGCGACAACATGTACAATGTGTGAAAATAAAGGAACTTGAACACATATAAGTAAAGCATAACGCGACAACGCATGCAATGTGTATAGGAACTTGAACACATATAAGTAAAGCATGACGTGACAACGCATGCAATGTGTATAGGAACTTGAACACATATAAGTAAAGCACACGCGACAACGCGAGCAATGTGTATAGAAACTTGAATGGAAGGGTGCAAGACAATGCAACCTAAGAATGCAAAACAGCGCGGGTGCACGGGAGGATGCAAGACAATGCAACCTAAGAATGCGAAACAACACGGGTGGACGAGAGGATGCAAGACAATGCAACCTAAGAATGCGAAACAACGTGGGTGGACGGGAGGATGCAAGACAATGCAACCTATATTCTATATGCAATGGATGGAATGGATAAGGCGCGCGGCCGAACCGTATCTTGCCTAGGAAAGGCATGGACAGAAACAAACCACGTCTAATCATGGAAACGGTGCCGCCACCCTCAACATTAGGTGCGTACACATGATATCATAACAATGCTTCAACACGAAAAGTATGGGCACATACTAGACCAAGCTCAACATGGAAAGGCGCAAGCCATAGATGGATATGCAGCAAATGCATGCAAACTACGATGCAATATATGGAAATGTACGACAATGCATCTTGAGATGCATGACAATGCAAATGAACCCAAATGCGTGACAACGCACTTTTTTTTTTTTTTCGAAATGCATGACCATGCAAATAAACTCAAATGCGCGACAACGCACGTTTTGTTTGAAATGCATGACAATGCAAATGAACTCAAATGCATGACAACGCCTCGTTTTTTTTTTTTTTTTGAAATACATGACAATGCAAATGAACTCGAATCCGCGACAACAAACGTTTTGTTGGAATGCATGACAATGCAAATGGACAGTGCATAACAATGCAAATTGTGCGTGTTACAACGCGTGTAGTTGTACATAACGGTACAACCTATGCATGTTTATCATAAACGAGGCAACACATGTAATGCAACGCATTTAAAGTAGTTATTGAATCTCGCAAGATACCAAAGGATACGGAAAGGATACACTTTGCGCGTATTGAGCATCGCATACGGGAAACATGGCTCGAGGTCAACACGAAGGCCGATCAAGGTTCGAAATTGCATTTCCTTGTACTGCCTTGATAAATGAAGGTTCCAAACCACATCAATTACCCAAACAAGGGGGTAGAGGGTTCACTGGCCACCGGGGAAAACCAGCGGCCATCCACTGGCCACAAAATAAGGCCATCGGCCAACTTTTTGGCCGACCGGCTAACAATTTGGCCGACCCGCTAAAAATGCCTGTGTCGGGGTAGTTTTGTCCGTTGGCCACGGGTCTTGAAATATAGGGCTCCAAGCCCTATATTTCTCACTTGCCCAAGCTCGAAAACTTCTTCCCTCTCTCTAAGTTATTTTTGAACCTTCATTCCTCATTTTTTCCTCGGTTTTTGAGCCTGTTTCGTCGTTTGATTTGTGAACGCCTCCTCGTTTCGCATGTTTTGAACCAAACAAATCTTGGTTTCAGTGCATTTTTCTCGATTTCCACCACTCGGGGTTTGTTTCCCTTGAGTTTACCTTGATTCTCGTGCCTTTTCCGCATTCTGAGCCTTCTGCCCATTTTTCACCCTCTCAGGGTTGACTTTTCAGTTGACTTTTCACATTCTCGCCCGGTTTTCACACTTCCGGCCATTTTTGCACCCTTCTTGACATGGCAGACGATCTTCCACAGGGTGGGGCTCCCCCAGAGATGGATGTTGACCCTGAGGTCGAGCTCCTACCTCTTCACATCCGGCCGTTCGATCCGGCGGCATACAAGCCGGCTATACACGTGATTCCTTCTGACAGCCTTCGCCACTTCCGGAGCCATGCACGAGGAGCGCCACCGGAGCTTCCGCTGCGCGAGCCAGAGTCACATTTGTCGTATGGCGCTTCTGAGGTACACTCTTCCTTATTTCATTTTCTGCAAAGTAGAATACATAACTGCAATAGTTGATTCTGTTCTTTAAATGCTTGGCCCAGATACACCGATACATCGCATGCTGTAGTTCACTGTGAGCACACCAGCACCTGATATCTGTTTGAATCTGAACATGCGCACACACGCTGTATTTTCCACTGAACCACTCAAACACACTGACACATCACATGCTATAGTTCACTGCGAGCACACTTGCACCTGATATCTGTTTGAATCTGAACATGCGCACACACGCTGTATTTTCCACTGAACCACTCAAACACACTGACACATCACATGCTATAGTTCACTGCGAGCACACTTGCACCTGATATCTGTTTGAATCTGAACACGCGCACACACGCTGTATTTTCCACTGAACCACTCAAACACACTGATACATCGCATGCTGTAATCCATAATAACATTAAATCCATAAATCCATAATAACATTAGTCAAATTTTTCGGATACTAACATTACATCATAAAGTACAAAAGTAAAGCAAATACAATCAAATACACCATCGCCTTCAAAATATTTTCCACCCTTCGAAGCCTTCGACCATAGTCGCCATGTTCATTTTCCACGTCATACAGCCTCCTCCTCAGCTCGTTAAAGTCTTCTACTGTAACACCATCAGAAGCTCTAGTGTTGGAACGGATTGTGGACGTCACATCTTCATCATCTTCAGCCACGAACTTGAAGTAATTGCAATTGGGATTTTCAGTCTACAATGCAACCAACAATTAGTTAGTCTATTAAAACAAATTAAATTGTGACTACTTACATATTTAATATTTGCAATGCAATACTTACATATTTTGATGGGCAAACAAAGAACAAATGCCCTTTATTTCCATTCTCATTTGTTTTTACGATATGTATGGCAGCTGTTCTTCCACAATTGCACATTCTCAGTTTTAATCTTATGTTGTTGTTGTCATTAGAAGAAGAAGCCATTTCTAAATCTACATAGACAATACAACACAAACAGTCAGCCCTCGAGAAACCAATTTAGTTTTGAAACCAACATTGTAGTGGGCTCATAAAAACCTATTCTATGTGTTATTCAGCATTGTAGTTCTACATACAAATTGATTAGGTCTCAAAGTGTTTAGTTGCACTGAATTCAGGAAAACAATGCTACAATTCTGGGCAGTAACCTATCCTAAGGTGTTCAGAGTTAAGAAGAAGGTAGAGAATATTTTCTACAAGGGTAGACTCCTAATGAGTACTCATGGTTAACAGTCGGAAGATATGCAATCATAATCGTATGTCTGATGCCTAATGACTTCAAAGTGATTGTGATTACTATTTATTGTTGTTCTTCTTTTTCTTGAACCCTCCAATATCCATATTTAATTGAATCCTCCCTTTCAATTATCTTACTAACACAACTCCCCATCTAATTACTATCTCAACAACCATATGTTATAGCCCAATTAGACATTTTACAAAAAAAAAGGAAGCACGTGGAATATGGACTAAGCATTGGAACCTCCAAATGCTATGCATGTTTCAAAGTTATGAAGTTTAAGCCTCTTTTTTATTGGCAAGAATACAGAAATAAAATATTAAGGTTCACAACTATCATATATGCATACAATACACCATCTAAGAAGTTCCAATCATGCATCATAAAGCTTTTGCTAGAAATTTCCCTTGAGTACATGCGTACATATTGATAAGTAAATTCCCCTCGAGTATATTTCCAGAAATATACACTCAATTCATGCTCTGTATAAGAGTATTACAACTAGCTATCAATATTCTCAAGTGATTGGTTCAAATACAATAAAAGGCGGAAAAAAAAAAACCATATACAAAATGAGAACTGTCCATCTTATGTCAAGAAAAATCAAATCCCAATTGCAAAACAATAGCAAGAAACTAACTTCACAGGGGGTTTGCGGTCCTTCCGGATTAACTTATCCATGTTATCCATGATTCCTACCTTTAAGAAGTGTTAGCCAACATTTGGTTTCTGTATAACTACACTTACTGACATTGATTATGTTTTATTGCAGTTGAATTCAAGCCATTAAAATGTTTTTTATGGGGCGCACACACCTGTTAAAATTGATTTATTAACAGAAGCCATTAAATTTTTTTTATCCTATAGCTACAGTTACTGATATTAATGTTAATGCCTTCTTAATGGCTTGTATTTAGGCAATTTAAGGCAGTAAATTATAGAAGTACTAACATATGGACAAAGATGGAAAAAAGAAGAAGAAGAAGAAGAAGAGGAAACCCAAATCAAAGCCCTAAATTTGTAGCTGTTGGAATCCCAAATCAAAGCCCTAATTTTGAAATTCCAAATCTAAAAGCCCTAAATTTTTTCAGACGTTTCAAAATCCCAAATCAAAGCCCTAATTTTGAAATTCCAAATCTCAAAAGCCCTAAATTTTTTTAGAAATTCCTAGGGCTGAGCAAGGAATCCGTGAAATCCGTAATCCGATCCAGTCCAGTCCAATCCGATAGGTTTGGATTGGTTTTTTGAATCCGTGGTTTGGTTCCGGATTGAATAATTAAAAATCCGTAGTTCACGGATTGGTTCCGGATTGAATCCCATGGTTCCAGATTGGAACCGATCCGGACCGTATACAAATAGTCTATATTTTTATTATACATCCTCCCCCATAGTATCTTTTCTTATTCTATGTAAAATCTAAACTCAAACCTAAAATCGTATAATATCTTCTTTTATTACTTTTGTTTGTTAGTTTTAAGTTTTAATTTGCAATGGTCTAAATACTTATGGTGAAACCAGTTTTCTTATGGTTGTTTAAATTCTAGAACAGTATGTCGTTATTATAGAAAAACATGTTGCTATTATGGAACTAATATAGCGCTATGTTTATATTTTTATGAAATTCAAGTGTTATATATATATTTTTGTTATTTAATTATGTGAATCCGTGGTCCTAAACCGATCCAATCCGTATTTAAATGGATTGGTTCGGATTGGTTCCATGACTTGAACGGATTGGATTGGTTCCAATTTTTTAAGAACCGTAAATAACGGATTGGTCCTGGTTTTATCCCAATCCGGTCCAATCCGGACCATGCTCACCCCTAGAAATTCCAACTCTAAAAGCCCTACATTTTTTCACTCCTAACTTCTTAATTTCAGACGTTTGAAGACCAACCTGGTTCGTGATCTATGCTCAACCGATGGTGGTCGTCGCGGTGGAGTTCACGAAGCGTAGAGGCTGAAGCGGTGGAGCTGTGGTTGTCGTGGGGTCGCCGTCTGGGTCGCCGTTGGGACTGGTCGCCGGTTCGTCGGTGAGGGTAGGTTCGGTGGACGACCACGATCGACTGTAAGGCTGAGTGAAAGTGAGAAAGTGTGAGAGTGAGAGTGAATGTCTCTGAGCTATGTTGTTGTTTTGTTTGGGCGGGAACTCGAAAAAATTTCATTTTTTTGTTTTTAATAATCTCAGCCGTTGCAAGCAGGAAATGAAGGACCCTCCTCAAGAAGAGGATTCGGACTCCAAAATGTAGGGCATCCAATTAAGAATTTGTATTGTATCGTTCTATTTTAGATTTATGTCGAAATTATTTCAATACTAACTCAATTCAATTATTTTTTATGTTATTGGATCATGTCATTTTTTATTTGTATTCGGTTAATATTTCATGTTAAAACTTTTACTCTTAGTTAAAAAATAAATGTTTAAATTTAGTTCAATTATAAATTAATCTCTACTCAGTTCAATTAAAAAATAAATGTTTAAATTCAGTTCAATTATATTTCCATATTTAAAAAAATAAATAAATTTTAACCTATTACTATATTTTTTTAATAGAATGACTCTAGGTAACAAACAATAATATCTTAAATAAATAAAATAAAAGGATAAATTACAAACACACCTCTTGAGGTTTACTTAAATTATGAATTATTCCTTGTAGTTTTGGGAATTACATTATGCCTCCTAAGGTTTCTAATTTCATTATATTTCCATATTTAAAAAATAAATGAATTTGTATTGTATCGTTCTATTTTAGATTTATGTCGAAATTACTTCAATACTAACTCAATTCATTTATTTTTTATGTTATTGTATCATGTCATTTTTTATTTGTATTCGGTTAATATTTGATGTTAAAACTTTCACTTTTAGTTAAAAGTACCAAACATCTGGCAAAATAATTTTTTTCACAAGTTTAATTTTATAAAATTAATCTCAACTAAATAAAATTATTCAAAAAAAATGTTTAAATTCAGTTCAATTATATTTCCATATTTAAAAAAATAAATAAATTATAAACTATTACTATATAAAGTAATAGAATGACTCTAGGTAACAAACAATAATATCTTAAATAAATAAAATAAAAGGATAAATTACAAACACACCTCTTGAAGTTTACTTAAATTATGAATTATTCCTTGTAGTTCTTGAAATTACATTATGCCTCCTAAGATTTCTAATTTCATTACAAATAAGTATTTTATTAATAAATCATCAAGTTAATTAACAATTTTTAATGATATTAAAATTTTATTTCAATTAATAATTCAGATAATTTTATTATTATATAGGAGAATATTTAGAAATTTTATTTTTTTAGTTAATTCTGTTAAATAAAAAATTCTGACAGAGAGCTATTTGTAATTTTTTAAACTACAAGGGGTAATTCGTATTTTAATTAAACATCAGAGAGTGTATTTATAATTTACGCTAAATAAAAAAAAACGTGGATATTAGCAAATAAAAAAAAAAGAGTAAGTAATTATCATTTTATCCAATCAATCTTATTTTTTTCTTTTTTTTTTTAAATTACGTTTAAGGGGCTCAATTTTAAAAGTTCGCCTTGAGTCTCGAAAATCCCAAGGCTACTAGCCTTGGTTGCTATCTAGAAACTAAGGCCATATTTGTTTAGCTCCATAGGATGTGATTAAGAGTACAAAGATTATTAATGTGGTGGTATTGGATTGAAGATGTAAAATAAAGAGTATTTGTTTATACACTACCAGATTAGTAATATTATAAATAGTATTAATATATAAAATTAATATTTTTTTAGGAGAATTTTTTTTAAGTCCCTGACATTAAGATTTATAAGATAAAAGATATACAATATTTTCA